GGGTTTCAGGAGTGCCCTAGAGGCCCCCAAGACAGCCCAAGAAGGGGTCGGTTTCTGTTGTCGCTTCGGCCCTCGACTCTGCGACCTACTGGAGCACGCGCCACTATGCTTGCGTGACTTGCCTTCCTAAATTGGTCGACTACGCACCCGGGTTTCGCGTTGCCTCGGGGAAGTTGGGCGCCTTTCCTGAAGAGAGGCTCCGACGCATCGCGAGGGTCCTGGAGATGTGTTCGGCGGTGTCCAACTTCAAACAGGAGTTGGGGGGGGGGGGCGCCGCCGCCGGCGTCGAGGGCAAGTTGGCAGCCGCGTTGGCTACGGATGGCGCAGGCATGGTTCGGGCAGCCAAATCGCAGGGCGACGGCGCTCTCCTCCGACATGGGAGGGGCGAGGCAAAATGATGGCTGAGGCCCTGATCATATTCCCGCGAAGTGATCATATTCATGGGATGGCTCAGGAGAGCCCTCGGATGGCGCTGGAATGCCAGAGGGCAGGGGGCACGCGCAGGACAAATGCTACATTGGAGGCGTTGATCGCAGCCTTGCCATCGACCGACGCACAGCCCACGACGGACGATTGGACCACCAAGTCCGACTCGCCTGCGTTTAGCAGAGGAAGTGTTGGAGGACCTGCAGGTTGCCAGCGCGGAGGTGCGGGTCATTCGGGTGTCCGAGCTCGCCCAGATCATCGCGGCGACGATCGGGGCCAACTTCCTTGCGTTCGAAGACTCTTGCTCTCAGACCTTCGCCAGGATAGCCAACGTCGCAGACAGGATGGCGAGCTTAGATGGGGCGCGCCCCGACCTGCTGAGCGTCGCGCCCGCCGTGGCCATGCCGATCGGGCCGAGGATGAAGACGAAGGAACTGACGGCGGGCGGAGGTCCCAGCGCGCTTGCTTAGCGGGCGAAGTTGCTGGGCACATGCATCTGCGTTAGCAGGCTGCCCGGGCACGTTGACGACGCCATCGAGGCTGTGCCTCCCGAGATGAGGCCCCGCGCCCCCGCGTTCACCGAGGCCCTTGTCGACGACGCAACCGCGTTCAAGAGCAAGCTGAGGGCCGAGGTGTTGAAGGCCAGCCTCGGCGAGCTCGCCGCCGAGACAGCGGCGGCGATGTTGGGCCGCGGCGGCGACGGCAAGGGCGGCGACTGCCTCGAGAAGATCGCGCGCTCGACGCTCGAGCAGTTCCAGAAGCGCGCCGCGAGCGCCATCGAGAAGATCGAAATGCCCGCGCCGGTGGCCGCAATGGGCGAGCTCGAGAAGGGGCGATGGGGCTAATGCTTGCATTGCTGCCATGCCCCTTCTCCGGCTTCCCAGCCTCGCTCTCCTCCTTCCCTTCTTCTGCCTCCCCCCCCTATTCCCCTTCCCCCCCCCCTCGCTCCCAGAGTGGCCCCCGTCCTCCTCTTCCCCTCTCCAATCCCCCCCGAATCCATATCCATCGCGCCTCCCTCTCGTCCTCTCTTCCCAGGCAGTGGGTGCGTTCCAGGCGAGGACTGCCGCCGTCGGCCATCGCGCCGAGGCGGGCGAGCGGGCGGCGCAGGCGGCGCGCGCCGAGGTGGGCAAGTGCCAGAAGCTGAGGTTCTCAGCTGTCCTCCTTCATCGCATCAAGGGGCCACCGACGACAAGACGCTACGAGGGTTCACGTCGGCGGAGATCAAGGAGATCAGGGAGATTTACGCGGACTGGGCGGCGCTGCTGCGCCCGCCCCCGGCGGAGAAGGTGCAGCAGGCGCTGGCCGTGAAACCTCCTCCAGCGTAGCGGCGCGGCCGCGAGCGCGCGGGGGTTTGGCCAATGGGGGGGGGGGGGGGGGGAACGCATCGTGGGTGGCCCCCTGCCCCCCTGCTTTCCCGCTCTAGCTCGCGGCTGGTGCGCGCTGCGAGGTTGCAGGACAGCTCGCGCGAGCGGAGAGGTAAATCGCTCTGCTGTTTTTTCCGGTGAGCAGCAACAACACATAATGCTGATATAAGAGTGAGGTTGGGGAGAGGATGGGCGGGGGGTTGAGTGGGGGGAGGGCGCGGGGCGATGGGGGGGTCTGATGTGGGCATGGGGGGGGGGGGGGGCGGTCGAGGAGGGGGCAGTCCCGTCGGCTGCGCCTCGTCGAGGGCGGGCCTGCGCGTGCCAGTCTCATATGCTGCGCCTCGCCGAGACGAGTGCTTGTTTAATGTTGCCAGTCTCGTCGGCTGCGCCTCCCCGGGGTGACTGACTGTGGAATTGTCGTCGGCCGCGCCTGGCCGAAACGACTTCCATCCCCGCAGCTGCTCTGAACAGGCTGCGCCTCTCCGAGAATCCTCGGCTCTCGGTGCCAAGTTCCGTCGGCTCTGCCTCTCCGAGTTCCTTGTTTTTGCTTTGCGGCGAGCGGCAATTTGGGGAGGGAGCGTCTATCCCGCCCGACGTCGGACCCCGTCCCTCCCCTTCTCCATCCCCCATAGCCGTGGTCGTTTCCGTTCGCGCGCCCGTGCGATTCAATGGTATGTTATCAAATTATCATTCCCATTCACCGTCCTTCCCAAACGGCTGCCCCGTACAATGTTTTTTTCGATGCGCAAGCCTTGGATCTAACTTCGTGGATTTGTTGCAACCATGCGCCCACAATGCCTGATTTTGGCTATGTGCACGCACCCCCTTTTCTTTACAGTTGCTGTTCGCACCGTCATATTCACGAACCCCCCGACCTCTTGAAACTACGGAACTTGGCAATGGCATGATCCAGCACCCTGGGCACCGGCCATGTTTTTGTAGCCTTGCAGCCAATGATGTCATTGCGCTTGGGCCTACCCTTGGGTTTACATTTTGGACAGCTTGCAGCACATCCAGGAACCGATTGTCCAGTTTTCATGCTATCTGGTATTTTCTTCACATGTGCGCTGTGTCGGGATACCGTTGCATCATGAAGACAGTGGCTGCCTAGGCAGAGAGCAGCTTGGCCGCAAACTCACACATTGTTTCAGTGGGTTTTCGCCACCTCCTTTTCGGAAGCCGTTCTGCAGCCGTCGGAATCTTCTCACGTTGTTGGATTGGCAGTGGCGCGTCATTTTTGAACGCAGCTGGCTTCCCAGAACCAAATCAAATCAGATCCTCCTCCTCCTCCTGTTTCTCCTCTTTCTCCTCCTCTTCTTCGTCATCTTCGCCTCCTCCTCTTCGTCATCTTCGTCTGCATCACCATCCTCCTTGTCCTCCTGACGATCGGCGGAAAATCGACGAAGGCGCCGACGATCGTCGGCGGGGGGCGGGGGAGGCGGGATCCAGGGTCGAACATCAATCGGGCAACCAGATCTCCAGCTCATTCTCGACTTTCCCTCCTCGGATTCAGTTTTTGGGGGCCCATTATGGGGCCCCGCGGACCATCACAACCGCGCCCCGGGGAAGGAGGACGGGATCTCAGGGGGTGCGGGTGGCACAGACACAATTCGTTGTCGATTCCCCAGATTCATATGGGAAAATATGGGAAGTGGAAGTGGAGACGGACATCAAAAACATACGAGAAAATAAACGGAAACGTGGGATTTGCATGTATTTCTTTGTGTGTCCTGGGGCCCCTTCAAAAAAACATCAAATCGTCGGATGCCTGGGTCTCCTGGAACTTCCTTTGCCGCCGGACAAGCGGCGGGGCGCCCGGGCCTCCGGCGGACGTGATTTTCCTTGTTCTTGTCTGTTTGCCGTCTATCGTTTTTTTTTGTGTGTTGTTGTTTTTTTTTTTGTTTTGTTGTTTTTTATTTCCTTTTTCCCCCCCTCCTCCCCCCCCGATCCGTGTCTGGCATGAACTGTGTCTTGTACATGAGGATTATGAGCGAGAAGTAAAGAATACGCAGAAAAGTACCCCGAATGGGCAAACATTGTAAAACAACCGCTTTTGTTTTAGTGTGTGTATATATACATACATATACATACATACATACATACAGACATACATACATACATACATCCATCCATACATACATACATACATACATACATACATACATACATACATACATACATACATACATACATACATATACACAAGCTACTTTTGAATACAATCTATGTTTGACTATTCTTCCTGTAGAGGGACAGGCCCGACTTCAGTCTGGCACGGGCGAAACGGGTACGGAAAGAGTGGTGACAAAGACGGGCCACAGTTCCTGCCTATGCCGAGGAGTCGATGTCGGCGTCGCCGCGTGCGTTTTCCGTTTTGGGACACGGGGGCGCCTGTTCCGCAGCGGATGTTGTCGGTTTCTTGGACAGCGTGCGCGGCTGCCTCATCGTGCCCACTGTTCCCCCTGCCCCCTTCGAGCGTCCAGGGAGAGGTGGCGGGTCCCTGTGGCAGGGCTCGGCCTCATTTGTGTTTTGGCGATTCCGTGGGCCGTTTGCGTTTCGGCTTCCTCTTTGCAGCAGAGGCGCAACGAAGACAGAGCGAGGGAACACGAGCACGAAGCGAGAACGAACAGCACCGTTCAGGTCGAGCCCTGTCCTGTGGCTCGATCCCAGCGCTTCTCGTCGACCCTGTCTCGGCATTCGTGGGCCGCTCTGCCCAGGCCCTCGGCCCACCAACAGTGGCTCTGGGGTGAGCGTGTGCCCCCCTCAGGGGTAACGCCCGGAGGGAATGTGCACAGGGGGGGACCCTCCTCCTCCTCCTCCTCGTCCTCCTCCTCGTCCTCCTCCTGCTGCTGCTCCTCCTGATCCTCCTCCTCCGCCTCCTCCTCCGCCCTGCCATCGGGGGCCTGTCGCCGATCTATCGGCGAGGTCTCGCCGTTTCCAGGTCGATGCTCCCCCCCCTTGCCCCCGCAGGGGTCATTTCGATTCCTCCGATTCGATTCGAATCGATTTCGGTGGCTTCCGATTCCGATTCGATTCGACTTCGGATTCCGATTTGATTCCGATTTCTCATTGGAGGCCTGCAAGCCTGCCGATTTCCGCCGATTCGACTTCTCCCGACTCGGCTGCCGATTTCCGCCGATCCGATTCATTTCGATCGCCGATTCGATTCTGGGTTCTCCTGCCCCTGTGCCAGTCCCCCCCCTATCGTTCCAAGAAGGGAGATAGCACACACTCCGTAGCCATTTTGGCTCAAGCAATTTTGGCTCAAGGTTCCGAGGGGCCGTCGCCGGCCTCCCAGGGCTCCCCTCGGGCGTCTCTCGTTCCTCTCAGCTCTGCACATCCGCAGACGGCATGATGCGCCCTCGCACGTCTCACAGCGTCGGCGCGCTGCTCCCGCTGCTGGTAGAGCGTCGCACCCCGCTCGGCGAGCGATCGCCCTCGCGTGCCGCAGGCCGAGCTCGGGAGGCGCCAGGCTACCAGCGGCGCGCAGTTGCTCAAGCTCTTGGCGAGTGATGGGGCCGCCTTCGACTGCTTCGGTTTCTCGGTGGCCGTGAGCTCCGACGGGGCCCGCGTGGTGGTGGGGGCCTCCAAACTACTATGACGACCAGGGTACGGCATTTTCAGCAGCGGGCTCCGCGTACGTGTTCGACGGCACCACTGGCGAGAGGCTGCTCAAGCTTGTGGCGAGTGATGGGGCCGCCTTCGTTTTCTTCGGTTACTCGGTGGCCGTGAGCTCCGACGGGGCCCGCGTGGTGGTGGGGGCCTACCGTGACGACGACAGCTCCGGCTCCGCGTACGTGCTCGACGGTACCAACGGCGAGAGGCTGCTCAAGCTTGTGGCGAGTGATGGGGCCGCCTTCGACTTCTTCGGTTACTCGGTGGCCGTGAGCTCCGACGGGGCCCGCGTGGTGGTGGTGGCCTACGGTGACGACGACGATCAGGGCACTAAGTCTGGCTCCGCGTACGTGTTCGACGGCACCAACGGCGAGAGGCTGCTCAAGCTTGTGGCGAGTGATGGGGCCGCCTTCGACTTCTTCGGTTACTCGGTGGCCGTGAGCTCCGACGGGGCCCGCGTGGTGGTGGGGGCCCAGTCTGGCTCCGCGTACGTGTTCGACGGCACCATCGTCACCACCGAGACGGCCATGAGTTCCGCGACGTCAAGCACTACTACCACCATCAAGACAACCACCGAGACAACAACTGAGACAACAACTGAGACGACCACTGCGACGACCACCAAGACGGCCACGACCACCACCGATACGGCCACGAGTTCCGCGACGTCAAGCACTACTACCACCATCAAGACAACCACCGAGACAACAATTGAGACAACAACTGAGACGACCACCGCGACGACCACCAAGACGGCCACGACGACCACCGATACGGGCACGAGTTCGGCCACGTCAAACACCACAGCCACCACCGAGCCATGGGGATCCATTGCAGTCTTCGCTGGTGTCTTGATCTTGTTCTTGGTCTGAGGCGTCGCGCTGGGCTGCCTGATGAGGCGCGGATGTCCTGGCCGTGGCAGAGGCCCAACACCCGAGCGCGGCATTCACAACGCGGAGGTTGAGGCCAATGTGTCGGAGCAGGACGCGGAGATCGATGAGCACGAGTCGGATCACCGTATTTAGCACGACGCGGAGGTTGAGGCCTTCCTATAATCTCCCTCCCTCCTCCTCGCTCCCTGACGCGCCGCGTAGCTATCCCTCGCACTATGTTGGAGCAAAGGGTACAACGATAGCCCCTCGAGGCACTGCGCTATACTCTAGTACAGCATGAGCTGGTCACAATGTCGCCATATCTCAGCCTGTATCATCAGGCTACTCTGCAGAGCGACACTACGCCAACTCACCTTGGCTTCGAGAAGCCACGTTTTTTCTCTCTTCATAGCAGCAGTAACTGCCTAGTATGCATTCCTGAAGAGGACAGCCGACTACATCATGGCAGCCCCAACCCTTTGGCGCTCGAGCGCCACGTTTTCCCAACCCTTCGAACGCTAGATCGCCCCACAAAAAAAGCGGCCACGCTCCAATGGGGGAGCCGCCTGGGGGTATTTCAATTTGTTGTTGGTTTGAAGCGAGAGGGGTGGCAGTGACTCGGGTTAGCGGTCGGTAGATTGGGCGAGGTGGCAAATATCATCCAGGAGCAGCAACGACCCCATCCCCGAAGGGGAAAAATGGGGTTGGACAAGGAACCGCGATTGACCATCTCCTGCCCAGAAGACGGGTGTGTTTTTGAGTTAGGAGACCCCATGCGAGAAATTGCCTGGGTCGGTTTCGGCGAAGCCATCATCGGTAATTTGGGCCCTGAGATGCGGCCTGTGAGGCGGTCCGGTCGGTCTCGAGACATCCCTGCAGTTATGGGCTTCGAGTTGCCGCGCGAGAGATAGTCCAGCCCATTTCGCTTCGGCTTGTTCGCCGCTGTCATGAGGCGGTCCAGCTTTTTTTGCTTGAAACATCCTCGCAGAGCAATCTTCGCCCGGTGCATCCTCGCTAATCTGGATTAGCCGATGCTTTTGCCGCACGGTATCAGATCCCGTTTCCTCGCTGCTCTGGGTTCGCAGTTGCCGTGGACTGTTCGTTTCGCTTGAGATCTCATTGCCACTCCGGGTTTATGTACGTCTTATGTCCTCACCTCACGTGGTCCTGGATTTTTTCGCCTGAGGCATCGTTGGGACTATGTTTTCGGGGGTGTCCAGACCTGAGGTGGTTCAATCAATTTCGCCCGAGATCTCCCATTTCTGGGCTCGGAGATGTCCTGTCAATTTGTGTCACTTTTCAGTAGACATTCGGGGATACTGGAGCCCTCCTTGTTGCCAGTGGCAAATCTGTCAATCGGGGCCACTTGTCAAATGGGCGAGGGTAGCTAGGCATTGCATGAGGCGGGTTGCCCGTCGATTTCACACACTAGTCACCCAAAGGGGTGGGCGGACTTCCTTGTATTTGCCTTAGATTCTGTGTGGCACTTCGTTGGAGGGTAGGCCCGACGTTGCCCCATCAGCCAGACCACTGCAGCTACTGCACTTCGCCTCGTCTTTGCGCAACAAAGAAGTGATATCACATCGCCTTCAAGGCCTGCTGGTTCGAAAGTCATGGGGCGTCGCGTGAAGTTCGCGGGAGGGGTCAGTGATATGCCAGCACCATGCTTGGCCAGGCCTTCCATGGCCTTTCGCCAGCTGCCCCTGAGAGGCTTGGCCAACTTAGGAGCTTCGATTCCTGGCCGATCCGACTCTTGGGTTTCAGTTTCGGAGAGCTGGCGCAGCGCGCCCCTGAAAAAAGTGCTGACGCTTTTGACGCTCCTGACGCTCTTGACGCTCTGACGCTCCTGACGCTCCTGACGCTCCAGGCGTCAGAGCGTCAGGAGCGTCAAGGGCGTCAGGGGCGTCAGGATCGTCAGAGCGTCAAGAGCGTCAGGAGCGTCAAGAGCGTCAGGGGCGTCAGGAGCGTCAGGGAGCGTCAGGGAGCGTCAGGGAGCGTCGGGGGTGCCGTGGGGCGTCAGGAGCGTCAGGAGCACCAGAGCGTCAGGAGCGTCAGGGGCGTCAGGAGCGTCAGGAGCGTCAGGAACGTCAGGAGCGTCAGAGCGTAGGAGGGTCAGGGGCGTCGGCCACTGCGGCTCCGCCGCTCGAGACATCCTCACAACTCCGGCGCCGCCGTTCGAGACATCGTCACAATTCGGGCGCCACCGCTCGAAACGTCCTCACAATTCAGGCGCCGCCGCTCGAGACATCCTCACAACTTCGGCGCTAACAATACTAATAAGACAAATAGTAGCATTACAATGAATAATAAACATACTTACCATTAGTAATAATAAGAATAGTAAGAAGACGAATCATGATAATAATGCTAATCATGCTACTAATAATAATGCGATGAATAAGAAGAATATGATGAGACGCGGGGACTGTCTCTTCAATACGAGGATCCAGCACCATAGCATGGTTGGGAAACCTGGGACATCCTAAGATTTGTATCTATTTATTGTGAAGGCCTGACGGCCGGTGCCGCCGACCCTGAAAAACCTCGACGACGACCAGGAGGGGGAGGAGGAGGAGAAGGAGGAGGAGGAGGAGGAGAAGGAGGAGGAGGAGGAGGAGGAGGAGGAGGAGGAGATAGAGGAGGAGGTAAGGAGGAGGAGGAGGAGGAGGAGGAGGAGGAGGACAATTTGGAGAAGGAGGAGGAGGAGAAGGAGGAGGAAAAGGACTCCCCTCTGGCCCCCCCCCAGGGGAGGAGAACCGGAGGAGGACCGGCGTGGGAGAGGGGAGGGGAGGGGGAGGGACGGATGCGTATCTGACTCCTCTCCCCCCCTGGGACTCCTCCCCACCTGGGGAGGGGGACCCGAAGAGGACCAGCGCGCCTGAGAAGGACTGGCGGGGGAGAGGAGGACCCCCAGAGGCGATGCGAATCTGACCCCCCCCTGCGGGACCCCCCCCCCGCCGGAGAATGGACAGAGGTAAGGGGCTTCCCTGTGACGTAGTGCGGACGTGGATGGACTTCCCTCAAGCTGCGAGCCCGTTCCCCGAACGAGGAAGGGTGCCCTCTCTCGCTCCCTCCCCCGACGGGAGAGGAGGATGGAAAGGAGGGGGCGAAAAAAGGCTCCCCGTCGACCGACAGGATCGGCGGATTTCTGTGTCGCTGGGCCTCTTCTCGTTGCCCCTCACCCCTCAGGGAGAGGAGCGGCCTGCCTCCTGTTCGCTTTCTCGGCGGGGCTGCGTTCGATCGACCGGCTGCGCTTGATCGGTTGATTTCGGTGAGCTGCGACGCGTCGCTGCATCCTCTTAGGCTTCGGCGGCGAGTGAGGGGTGGACGTGAGAATGAGAAGGCCGTCTCAGAAGTCGGCGGAACTTCTCAGAAGGCCTTGGCCTTCTGTGAGGTTTTCTGCGTTTTCGGGGAAGGCTCCGAGAATTTCTCAGCAGGCCGGGGGGCTTCTGAACCTGCTGAGAAGGCCCGCCCCTTCGCACTTCCCCCGGGGCTCGCCGCCGATCCTAGGCTTCATTCGGCCTTTCAGTTTGGTCGGCATTGGTTTGGCTGTCGGTTCGGTCGGTCTTGGGCCTGGTTGTTGCCGTGGGCGCCCATGATCTCTGTTTCGGCTTATCTCTGCCAAGAGGAGACAGTAATCAGAAAACCGAAGAACAGCGCAAGCCCGACTTCTCGGAGGTCCACGCGGATTTCTTGGGTCGGCGCTGGACCTCATGCCCTGGCGCGTGAAGCGCGCCAGGGTCGGCGCCGGAGGTGCCGCCAGGGATGTGAGAGGGGGGGCTGGACAGAACCCCCAACAGTGACACGTCGATTAGTGAATTGTCCGTTTTCGGTTCTCGAGAGGGCGCCGTGGCCGTTATTTTCCAGGCTTGCGCCTGCCAGGTTTGGGCCTCAGGTCGTTTTCACTAAACCACGTCTTACCAAAGGGAGGTCTGTCCATCCCCGTGGGGGGAGGGTCGAGCGCCGACCGAGCACGTCTGCGGTCCGCCGTGGCCGCTTTTTTCAATTTGCCAGGTGTGGCCGTCTCCTCTCCTCGGCAGCGCAGCGGCAGGGGCATGGCGGCGTCACATGCCCCAGGGGCTTGGCATCGCTCGGACGTGTGCATTTTTCCTTCGGCGAGGACCATCGAGGAGCATCCTTGATCATTTGGCGAAAAATCCGCGCACGAAACCGAAAAAAGCACAGGGAATGGACGTCCGAGCGATGGCGAGGGGGCGCGCGGCCAGGTGATCGAGCTGCCCTTCCGCATCGGCTTCTCGGTGGAAGCCTCCGCCGTCCTCTTCATCTGTGACTTCGTCATGGACTCGTGCTTCGTGCTGGACCGGGCGGCGGGACCCCGAGATCCGGCCGTTGCGATGTTTTCACGACCTGCGTTTTTGCCGGCCTCCGTGCCCCGGGACCGTTGCTCTGGCATCGCTCGGGCGAATCTGCATCTCTCCTGGCGAGGACCATCGATGATCATGTTTGGTCACTCCTGCCTCCTCCTCCTCCTCCTCCTCCAACAGCACGGGGAACGGCCGTCCGAGCGATGGCCAGTCACAGGTCGACCTGGCTCGGAAAACGCCGCATGCAGCGAGAGAGGGCGCCGAAAGGGCGGGGAGGAGCTGCGCGCACCTCCCGCGGCGGGAGTTCGGCGGGCCCGTTGCCTGGGGCGCGCTCCTCCGTCGGGAGGAGGAGGAGGAGGAGGAGGAGGAGGAGGAGGAGGAGGAGGAGGAGGAGGAGGAGGAGGAGGAGGAGGAGGAGGAGGAGGAGGAGGAGGAGGAGGAGGAGGAGAGGGGGTTCAGCGCAGATCCAAGAAGTCCATGCAGTTTCTCTGTTGTTGCTTTCTCTAGAGCCTCCAGGGAGGCGCGAGGGAGCGGAGGAAGACGGGAAAGGGGAGTGCCAGTCCGAGTCGAGCTGAGGCTTGAGAAGCAGCATCGGCCGAGGCAAGCCGACGAGGCTGGACGGAGCGAAGCGAGACCAATCGAAGGCCTGGTCATGCCAGGCTGGCCCGAGCTGAGCCAAGCGAAGCAACGGTACGAAACGCTCAACTAGGATACGCCGTGCCGAGTTGCGCTCGGCCAGGCTAGGCTACGCCGCAGCAAGGCAAGGTATGCACGTTCTGAACGCTGGGTAGCAAAATGTAGTAGTCGTTCGGTAGTCAGCTTCGTGCGAGGTGCATGGTAGGCACAGCGTAGTTCTGCGATAGCAAACGGTGAACACAGCTTTGCCATCGGGCAGCAACGAGGTGTAGAATGTGCCTCGTCAGTGAGGCTTCGAGACAATTATGATGTAGCCAGAAAACAGCTTCGATGAAGGTGCAGACGCGAGATAGCCGCGAGATATCCATGGCATGTAATTGTGTAGCTGCGGGATGGCAGTACTCCCGGCGTCCATGCGGTAGCTCATCAATAGGCTGTGACGAGGCACTGATGGCTCCGATGGAGTTCATTGTGAGCTCAAGTCGAAGGCAGCTGTGAGTTAAGCTGGTGCTGGGCCAATTTACGTCAAGTTCGCGCCGCGTCGACGCGGCGGCGACGCCAGCGCTAACTGGCCTCGGAGAAGGCTCAGGAAGCTTCTCAGAAGGCCAGAGGCCTCCTGAGTCTTCTGAGAAGGCCCGCCCCCTCTGCTCCCTGGCCTGCCCCCTTGTCTGCCCCCCTGGCGCGCGCCGTCGATGGATACGTCTTCGGAGCGCATGGCCTTCTCGTGCTGAGCTCTGGGAAGCTGAGGCTGGCTGGGCCAGGCGTTGCTGGACGCGGTCGGGCGATGACCACGCGCAGGAGGAGGAGGAGGAGGAGGAGGAGGAGGAGGAGGAGGAGGAGGAGGAGGAGGAGGAGGAGGAGGAGGAGGAGGAGGAGGAGGAGGGGGGAGGGGAGGAGGGCGGGAAAGGGAGGAGGGAGGGATGGGGAGAGGAGAGAAGGAGGGAGGAGGAGGAGGGAGGAAGGAGGAGGGAGGCAATGGAGGAGGGAAAAGGGCCAACGAGAGGGTAGGGTGGGGAGGAGGGAGGAGGGAGGAGGGAGGAGGGATAGGAGGGAGGAGGGGAGGAGGAGGAGGTGGGAGGAGGAGGAAAGGAGGAGGGAGGAGGGAGGAGGGAGGAGGGAGGAGGAGGGAGATGGAGGAGGGAGGAGGGAGAGGGAGAGGAGGAGGAGGAGGGAGGAAGGGGAGGGAGGAGGGAGGAGGGAGGGAAAAGGGAGGAGGAGGAGGGAGGGAGGGAGGAGGGAGGGAGGGAGGCGTTAGGAAGGAGGGAGGAAGGGGAAGGAGGGAGAGTAGGATAGGAAGGAGAGAACGAAGGGAATGAGGGAGGGAGGAGGAGGAAGGGAGCAGGAGGCGGGAGGCGGGAGGCGGGAGGCGGGGGCGGAGGCGGGAGGCGGGATGGCGGGAGGCGGGAGGCGGGAGGGCGGGGAGGCGGGGGCGGGAGGCGGGGAGGCGGGAGGCGGGACGGAGGGAGGCGGGAGGAGGGGAGGAGGGAGGAGGGAGGAGGAGAGGAGGGAGGAGGAGAGGGAGGAGGGAGGAGGGAGGAGGGAGGAGGGAGGAGGGAGGGCGGGAGAGGAGGGGGTAGGGGGGCATAACGGAGGCCCGCGTTTCTACGATGT